GTCTCGCAGAATTGTGTCGTTTTTGATGTTGTCAACTTTAAAGAAAAAAATTAGGAAGTCTCGCGGAATTGCTTCGTTTTTGACGTTGTCAAGTTCAAAAAATGAGGAAGTCTCGCAGAATTGCTTCGTTTTTGATGTTGTCAAGTTCCAAAAACTGAGGAAGTCTCGCAGAATAGCTTCGCTTTCAAGCTTACGGATAGACAGATAGATATATAGACAACTACAACTGCAACTACAGCTACAAGTGCCACTACACTACACTACAACTACAACTACAAGTACAAATGTACTACGCTACATTACACAACACTAATTAGACTACAACTACTACAACAGCCACTACTGATACTTCTACTACTACTGCTACTACTACTGCTACTACTGCTACTACTGCTAATGCTGCTACTGCTACTACTACTACTACTACTATACGACTACTACGACTACTACTACTACTTCTTCTTCTACTACTCCTACCATTACTACTACTACTCCTACCACTACTGCTATTACTACTACTGCTGCTGCTACTACTACTACCACCACCACCACGACTACTACTACTACTACTACTACTCCTACTATTACTACTACTACTACTACTACTATTTCTACTACTACTACTACTGCTACTACTACTACTAATACTACTACTACTACTACTACTCCTACTACTCTACTACTACTACTACTACTACTACTACTACTACTACTATACGACTACTACGACTACTACTACTACTACTTCTTCTTCTACTACTCCTACCACTACTACTACTACTCCTACCACTACTGCTATTACTACTACTACTACTGCTGCTGCTACTACTACTACTACCACCACCACCACGACTACTACTACTACTACTACTACTACTACTGCTACTACTACTACTACTACTATTTCTACTACTACTACTACTACTACTACAACAACGACCACCACCACCACCACCAGCAGCACCACCACCACCACCACCAGAGCTGCAACTACAATGGCAGCTACACTACATTACACTACATTACACTACAATACGCTAATTAAACTGTAGCACATTACAGCTACAAATACAAATGCAACTAGAACTACACTACATTACACAGCACTACACTGCACTAATTACATTTCATTACACTACAACTGCAACTACCACTACATTGCACTACACGACACTACACTACAACTAAGCTAGTTTACACTACAATACACTGGGCCACACAACACTATACCACGCTACAGTACGCAAGACTACAGTACACTACAATAGACTACACTAATTACACCACACCACGACTACAACTGCAACTGCAACTACACGACACTAATTACATCACATTACAACTATAGCTTAAAACTACAACTCCACTAAACTACAACTACAACTACAACTACAAGTGCGACTACTGCGCTACACCATTACTACAATTACTACAATTAAGACGATTACAACTTCAACTACACTACGACTACGGCTACAACCACAACTACAACATTATAATTACTACTACTACTACTACTACTATTTCTACTACTACTACTACTACTACTGCTACTACTACTACTACTACTACTCCTACTACTCCTACTACTCCTACTACTCCTACTACTCTACTACTACTACTACTACTACTACTACTATTACTACCACTACAACTACAACTACTGCGCTACACCGCACTACATCCAGGAGTTGTGAGTGAGGTGACCGCTGCAACCATTGCAACCACTCCTAAAAGCACAACTCCAACCACCTTTCGGTCCATCAGTGGATTCGCTCTGCCATCCGTGAGTCACAACAACCAACCCTTCCTATAGGTTTCCTATTTTTGAAACTTCCGCCACCGCCTTGTGCGGTACTACTGGTATATGCATATGCATGCATGCACATACACATACACATACACATAGGCATATGCATACATATGCGCATACAAGCACACACACATACATACACATACATACACATACATACACATACATACACATACATACACATACATACACATACATACACATACATACACATACATACACATACATACACAGACATACACAGACATACACATACATACACATACATACACATACATACATACATACACATACACACATACATATACACATGCACCTATACATACATGTTACAAACATACTCATACACATAATTGCATATATACATACATGTAAATACATTTAAAGATGTTTACATATATACATATTGGAATTTACATATGTACATATTTTCATATTTATATACCTATATACACATATACATATATATATATACACATATACACATACATACATGCATATACTTATGCTTATTTTTACATACTTACAAAACTTACGTATACATGTGCATATACATATGCATATACATATGCATATACATATGCATTTACATATGCATTTACATATGCATATACATATGCATATACATATGCATATACATATGCATATACATAACGTATACCTAATACCTATACCTATACATATTTATATATTTTATTTTTATATGTATGAACCCCAGCCATGTTTTATTTTTCAATTCAACATATGATTCAATCTGTTGCTGTTGCCCTTTTCAGTGCTAAGGAGACGATTTTTCGATGCTCTAACGGGACATGGTTTCAAAGCTACTGGCCTGCAACGGTCGGACGGGACACGAGGCCAAGGATGATGATTTCTAATCATCAAAATGGTGGACACAATCCAAAATGGTGGATTGAAGCAGCACCAGAATTGGTGATTGGAGCACCACCACAATTAGGCAGCATCCCTAATTGGAGGTATATTAGGCCTCGGGGTTTGCCTTGTTTCCGCTGATTCTATGCAATGCTGCTGGTGACTGGCATTGTGGGGAGGGAACTCAATCCTCGTTACCTACGGACGCTACCTATATATACTATAAATGGATACTGAATACAAATATTATGTGTACGTTTGTGTACGTCTATATTTGAAAAATATATTTATATATATTATATACACATAAAGAGAGAGAGAGAGAGAGTAGAGAGAAAGAGAGAGAGAAAAAAAAGGTTTGTTTGGCATCCCTGGATTGTTGATCCTAATTGACCTGCTGGAATGTTTGGGATGGGTTGAACCATGCAGAATCTAACCAAGCAGGTGGGTCATGATCATCATGATCATAGCCAGCTGTTGGTCGCACGGGCGAATATTTAGTGATTTGGAAATTCGACGAACTCATGTTGACTTAATATTTTACCCAAATTGCAACGTGTTGTTCCAGTTTGCCTTAGTTCACCCAGATTTTCGCAGTGCCGATGTTGAAACCCAGGTGAAAGCCTTGGAAGTTCCGATGGACTTGGTGGAGGCGTTTTTGGGTGGTGCCATGGGGGACCCCAAACCCAAACTTCTCAATTTTTTGTGATTAGTTTGGTGGCCAATGAGGCACTTCAGCTTTGAGAAACACTACAATATAACTCATATAATGGTTAGCAGATGTTTGTTTTTCTGGTTTGTGTTTTTTCCTAATTTGACCGGATTCTATGGCAGTCGGCCAAACTTCAAACTCATAGTTTTGCCCTGAGCCAAGGTACAAATATGATGCATACATGGGAATCCTATTTGGATTCACTATGTTTGTTTTAACTTATGCTTGTCTTGTGAGCAGCTCACCCGTGCCAAGGATGCTGTTCAAAAAGCAAGTCATTCCCAGCCAGGATCTTCCCCAGAAGGAGCTACGACTCTGGGAGGCCGCACAAAATGGTCGGCAAACTGGGGGATAGTAGATGGTCACTTGGTAGGCCATGAGGAAATCCAAGATTTGGATGGCTAGATTTCGGCTAGCGGCTAGAAACTCAAACTCAACATGAGCAATTCTATTGAGCCATGCCCAAGTTTGGAGATACGCTCAGTCTTTGGTATGGTTGGAAGGACGGCTTTAAAATATCCCAAGTCATGTTTCCGCCAAAAGGATAATTTAAACATAAAGGACTTCCAGCAGCGCACATGTTTTCCAGACACATGTCTGACTCTGATCCTATCCCATCCTACCTGGGAAGATTCCACTTGTTGACGACGGTTTTCGTTCCTGAAATCCCAATGAATTGTTTTCCTGGGATGATCCATGAGGACCCCATCTGTAGTCAACTCAAAGCAGCATTTTTTTGCTAAAGCTGGTCATGATTCAGGACCTTGAACCCCGCAGGTCCAGAGGTGTACCAGTGCAAGCGCCGTCGGGGAGGACTTGGAGCCATCATGGGGTTCTGGGGAGGACCGCGAGAGAAACAAGTCGCGGTGAAGATGTTTTGGTTATGTTTGGTTTAAGATGTGTTAAGCATTTGAAGCTTCAGATGGCCTTTGGTTGGTGGCTGGAAGAATTTGCTAGACTATCATTCTTGTGTCCAAAACTCACAAGATCACAGGAACATGAAATAAATCACATGGCAGTGTGTCAGTCCCAAGCATCAAACACAAACATCAAGACAGACATAGCCATCCCAGCCTTCCTTTAACATCCCAAAACATCAACATCTTAGGTCAAGAATGTCAAACAAAATGGATCTTGCAGGAGACATCACTGGAAGATGGGCTCTATTTGTAGCCAAAAAAAAGACTGGCAGGTGGTTGCCACAAGATTTGATTTTGATTCGGTAGCTATTTGAGAAGCCTTTGATATATAATAGGGATTGACTCTGGTGGAGCAGTTTTGAAGCCCCGAAAATTCGTAATGTAGCTCAGCTAGTCTCTACATAGTAAGTGGGTCATGTCGATTTAATATGATCGAACCTTCTCGTGCCGGTCTATAGGACCAGGGTTCACGGACCAGGGTCTGGGCTGACTAAGTACTCATGAAATCCGGCAAATCCTCCTATTTCAAACTAGCAAGCAACTAGCAATCAGCCTCATGTATCCTCATGTCATGACTGGAAGGGCTTGAGGTGGGTACGGGTCAAAATTAAAAATTTGGGGCCACAGATTTAAGACTATTTTTCGTATTAACCATCAAATTCTTGGGATACCCCGCAAGGCTACCAAGGTAGCTTGAGGTCTCCAGTTTGCCATCGCCTCTTCGGCTCAAGTGCCAGCACCCCGGGGTCGCCCAGAACTGTGGCCTCCGGGCCTGGGGTCTCAGTGGCTCAGTGGGCGTTCCTTGCGGACCAACATGTCGACCAGTCAAAGCCTAAATCAGGACCAATATGGAGCCCCGTCAACGACACTTTTCTAGATGTTTCTATACATGTTTCAGCTATACATATTCTTGACATTGCAAGAATGCAGAAGTTGTATTGACCCGTGACCCCAAGAAAATCTTGAGAGATCTAAGCCTGATTTAACTTCGTGTGGCTGGGCCACCGGCAAGTGATTAATGTGCTTACCCCAGGTGTTTCAATTCCTTCTGGGGACTACGTTAGAAGATCAAGCGAACATACTTCTGAACATATGTGCACATTTGCAGCATATATTGTGCAAAGCATATTGCTGTATGTCCATATATCTACGTGCACGTTGTAAGTACTCGTACCATAAGTACCACGCTTTATGAGCACTGAAATGGTCCAGATATGCCTTGATATTCTGCAATTATGATCCGTGGACTGATTTTTGAGCCTGAAGACATGAGGGAGATGGTGCCTACAATTTTTGCAGTCCTACGTAAGTCATGGATGGTGTCACCTGTTCTATCTAGTGGACATGTTGCCATAAGTCGCCCCTACTGTAGTATCAGCCGACGATGGCAAAGCCTTGTTGAAGGATGTGAATCCGCTGCCTACGGACTACTGTAACAGCTGACGACAATTTCGGCTGCTGGTGAACCCTAGTGGTATTTCTTTAATGTTCTAAATGTTGTGCGAGAGTTTCACTTGTTTCTTGGTTGAGAATCGCTGTTTGTTAAAAAGTTGTCTCTTCAGGGGCTGACATCGACAGGTCTGCCCATATGAAGCTATTGACCCACAACCTCTTGAAATGCCGTGCTGACGTGTTTGGTGATGGGTGGATGGTCAGGAGCAATGAGATGTCCCATCTGGACCCCCGCAAGAAAAAGCGGAAGACTGCGGAAGGAAGTGGCTAGTATAACTACAGGGCCCTCAAGGCAAAGACATAGCCGCTGCGTGTCCAGGTAATAAGAAAGGGGTCACGAATGGTTTCCCGCTGATCATTAGAGCGGTCACCATGAAGTACGAGGACGGGACTGGTATCGCCCACTGACCTGCAGCCTCCAAGTGCTTGGATGTGAACCTCAGTTCCGGGTACACTGTTGTGCACCAACATGTGCAACATGTTCCTATCACTGGATAGATCAGGGATCTTCGCTCATGTCATAGATGAGGCTGTTCATTTTCGGAAAGCCGCTCGGTACAGGAGACGCCCTACGAACAAAGCTTTGTCAGTGCCATGGTCCCAAAGTTGGAGTATGACGCACTGCTGAAGGCCCCAAGGGCATCTCCAGGGCCGCGCTGTCGCGCTGTGAGGATTTCAACATGACAAGTCTGACCAGTCTGACGCGCAGGCCCTGGGAGAGATTCGAGACTGCAGCAATTTCGAAGGCATTGAGAAGCCCCGGACCTCAGTCTTCGTGAAGTTCGTTGAGCAGTGCTGCAGTGCTGCAGTATGGGGAAGCGCTATTTTCGGGTCAGGATCCAACAATAAGTCATAGAATTTCACTGGAATGTATGAGAGAAAAATTAGGATGTCCACTGGAATTCCTATGAATATCATGAATTAAGAAATGATTTGGTTTGATTTTTTCTTTTAAAAAGTCCATTCGTCCATTCGGTATTCCATCGCGGATGACTTCCAGGCTGGGAAAATTTCCGACCCTGCCGTTGGCCTTGCCTCCAGACCATGCATCTTGGTGCCAATCTCCCCAGCCGTGAATACTAGGGGTGATCATCCCCGAAAACGGCGAAGCTTGCTAGCTTGCTATTTACATATATATAATGTAGTTATATAATGTATATGTTAGTGTGTATATATAATATGTATCATATATATATATAAGTATAGGAACATATCACACATATCACATATATATATATATTATTTAGTGTGTGTGTGTGTGTGGACGGAGCAGGTAAATCATCACTGGTTTTTCCAGAATCACATTTTCTACCACAAGTCGGTGTGGTTTTGCTTAGGTGCCAAGCTCCCAAGTTCCCATCATTCCCAAAGGTGTTTATTGCGGAGAGCCAAGGAGAAGAATGAGGAATTCTTGAAGCAGTTACATGCATGGAGCCCTGGACCTGCGCAAACTTGCCCCCAAACTCGCTAATGATGACTGTCATTTTGGCTGTAAAATGTTTTAATACACACACATATATATATATACATATTTCTATATGTATATTTGTATATGTATTCTTTTTCAGACATATTGAACTGTTATTACGGTATCAATTTGAGATTATGTTTTCATTTTGAACATTGATATATTAATGCGCTTATTGCTTTATCTTAACTATGAGAATATAATGCTTATGATGGTAACTTGGGACTACGGAGGATGACTACCAGCGAACTACACGCCTTTCAGATGCAGATACTCAAGGGCCTTCAAAGAGATCCAAAGACCGTAGAATCATTGGATATGTCTGCAGATGGTGAACCCGAAGTTTGGAAATTTTCTTTTATAGGGAACATATTTGAGGAAGGTCATTACAATCCATGAGTTTTTGGAGTACACTGATGTCAGACAAAGATATTTCCATGGTGCTTCACATGACGGGATGGTTCAATGGACACTCATTCATTGCTTCACTGTGTATGATGTGCATAACTGGGTCGCTTGAAGGGTGCCACCTACTCCCGCGGCATCCCTACACTGAGTATCCGCAGATGGGCGTAGCACGTGCAAACATAATGGAATACGGAACACCATAAACTCATGCAAAAATCAAACATAATAGGGCCACTGAAACTACATCTCTTGTTGTTTTTTCATGTTCAAAATTCTCTGGAAATTTGATTGGTTTTGGTTAGCGGTTGTTAGCCAAACGAACAGATCCAATGATCCAACAACTCACCGTGGCTCCTTGGCTCGCGGCTCCAGACGGTTCTCTTCGACTTGAACTTGATCGAAGGTCAACTGGTCTGTGCGGCGTCCCAGTCAGGTCCAGGGAACGTCGGCGCCCGCGATGCTGGAAGAAACAGCTGGAAACTGATGTGGACTGAATTTATTTGAGCATTACATAACATTACATAACTAAGTTTTCCGGTGATGACAGTCAGTACGTTTAGACTTTTTGGTAGCGTCCGGCTGCAGTCTAACTGGGAAAGTCAGTGTGTGCCGCGTTCAGGAGGCGGATGGTTGAGTTTACTACATTCGGTTAAACTACCAGAGAGTAAATCCCAAAATATATCATATATCATGTGATAGCCCCATGATATCCTATCCCCATGTCATTAAGCATGAATACAACATTCATGGGGATATTATCATACCATTGTTGGGTAATCGAAGGAAGTTTAGAAGTGAAACTTCCGACAATATGGACAGTTGAAAAGCAGAGGTGAGAAGAGTCAGAAGAGACAAGATCAGAAGAAAGAAGAGGTAGATGCGCGAAAAGATAGGAAAGTCGCGATTCACTGTGTTTTTTCCAATGATTTGTGGCTCCGGAGGGTCGAAAAGTAGGCTCGCTAAAGCGGCGGGTGCGGAGCCAGCTGGCCAGATGAGACATGAAAAAGTGCACGCCGTTGTGGTGCGAAGCACATTTCCAAGTCAAAATGGACAAAACACTAGAGGAGCGGACCACTTTTGGAGCACGCCGTTGTGGCGCGAAGCACATTTTGAAGTCAAAATGTACAAAACACACCATTCTCGGACCACTTTTGGAGGTTGAGATGTCGAAAAAGTGCACGCCGTTGTGGCGCGAAGCACATTTTGAAGTCAAAATCTACAAAACACACCATTCTTGGACCACTTTTGGAAGTTGAGATGTCGAAAAAGTGCACGCCGTTGTGGCGCGAAGCACATTTTGAAGTCAAAATGTGCAAAACACACCATTCTCGGACCACTTTTGGAAGTTGAGATGTCGAAAAAGTGCACGCCGTTGTGGCGCGAAGCACATTTCCAAGTCAAAATGCACAAAACACACCATGTTCGGACCACTTTTGGAGGTTCAGATGTCCAAAAAGTGTCGAAAAAGTGCATGCCGTTGTGGCGCGAAGCACATTTCGAAGTCAAACGTGTAAAAAAACTGAGGGGTTTTGAGCCTTTTTTGACGTGAAGATGTCGAAAAAGTAGACACTGATTAACTTAACTAGCTTGACTAACTTATATAACTAACTTCACTAACTTAACTACCCTAACTTCAACGACAACAACAACAACAACAACAACAGCAACAGCAACAGCAAAAGCAACAACAACTACAACAACAACAACAACTACAACTACAACTACAACTACAACTACACAACAACTACAACTACAACAACAACGACAACAACAACAACACCAACCACAACAACAACAACAACAACTACAACTACAACTACAACTACAACAACTACACAACAACTACAACTACAACTAGAACTACAACTACAACAGCTACAACAACAACAGCAACAACAACAACAACAGCAACAGCAACAACAACAACTACAACTACAACTACAACTACAACTACACAACAACTACAACTAGAACTACAACTACAACAACTACAGCTACAAAACAACTACAGCTACAACCATATGACTGCAACTACACTACACTAATTACATTACACCACAACTACAACTCCACTACGCTACAACTACAACTACAGTTGCAGTCACACTACATCCAGCAGTTGTGGGTGAGGTGACCACTGCAAAAATTGCAACCATTCCAGCAAACACAACTCCAACCACCTTTCGGTCAATCAGTGGCTTCGCTCTGCCATCCCTGATTCACAACAACCAACTTCTCCTATAGGTTTCCTATTTTTGAAACTTCCGCCACCGCCTTGTGCGGTACTACTGGTATTTTCAATATTAAGTTAATATTTTTTTCATATGAAGCCATATGATATCAACCATATTTTATCATCAATGTGATGCCATATTTGGTTGGTGGTTTGGAACATGAATTTTATTTTTCCATCTATTGGGAATGTCGTAATCCCAACTGACGAATTCATATTTTTCAGAGGGGTAGGTATACCACCAACCATATATATATACATATCCATATCATAAGGGTTTACATTGTGGGATGGATGTGATAATGACATAGCACCATCAACCATTGTTGGGTAATGGGTAATATTATCAATATTAAACCAGATAAACCCTCCATAAATCCTCCATAAATCCTCCAATACAAATCCGCCATAAACCCTCCATAATTTCAACTATTTATTTAATATTATATCATGTGGTACCAAATGATATCATCAATATATCATACCATATTATCCAGGAAGTTCCCATTCATCGTCATCAATGACCTGGGCATCCCGGAGCCGTCTCCACGAGGTCCTGAGTCTGGCCGTGTTTTTCCGGTGAACGTGAGGGGCCCTGAGCTGCGAACCGGTTTCTGCAGCGCTGACCGGGGTTCCCGTTGTCCGGGGTCACCCAATTTGGGTCATTCAACGTAGCTATGGAAAATCACCTATTTTTGATAGGTAAATCATCAATCATCATTAAAATCATCTATAGATCTATAGATGGGCCAGGCTCACCATTTTCCATAGCTGTGTTTTAAAAAAAGATATGGTAATTGCCACAATAAAGATATTGAACGAGACAATTGGAATTTGACCCGAAAATAGAGAGACCGTACCATATGGAGGAGGAGTCAGAGCCATATATTGGATGCATGTTGCCTTACATAGCCCTTCCATGGAATATATACATATACGTATTATATATATATATGTGTGTGTGTGTGGTAAGTACCTTCAGTTTAGGTACCTGAAATGGCCATTGAAGAGTGGCCAATTTAACAGTTCTTTTTTTAGACTATATATTGCATTTGTTTGGTCGTGAATTGATGCTCTTCTTTGGGGCTACTAGATATCATTCTTGCAGTGATTATTGGGGTGATTGCAGGTTAATACAAATGACGTGGATGCACATGGATGATTTTGTTCTCCCAACCCCTTGTGTTTTTGTTTGTTTACAATCATCTTGAGTTCCTGATATTTCACGTTGTGATTCTTCCAAACTTTAGCAGCTCAGTGACTGTGTGATATTTGGCTCCTCAGATGCAACCCTGACCCATGTCGAGTGTCCAGGGACATCCAGGGACATCCAGGGACCAGCACTGTGGAAGCGTCAGGATGGAATTCCCAACATGTTGCTGAACGACGACGAGGTTTGAGCCAGATCTGAAGAGGATCGTGGAGATCCCGTAGGACCTCCCTTGTGCAGATTTGTCCATGAAAATAGTGCTATATGATGATTGGCAAACAGGTTGGACATGGAACAATTAACCCTAATTACTGTATATACTGTAACCAAGTTTGAACTCAGCTGGCATCTTTGCGAACGAATGATTCTTCAAACAGATCTGCAATTGAAATCAGTGAAAGCAACGAGATGCCCAGTGTGTGTATGGCACAAGAACTCAGTAGATCCCCCACTTAGGCAGGCCATGGGCTTCAGCAGGGTCCCCCATTGAGGTAGGTAAACCCCAGCGATCTCAGAGTCCGCCGTCGGGGGAAAAAAAGACATTTTTTCCAGCCCTGGGCCTGGAATTTCAGGAGCTTGGTCATTTGGGTCAATCTATAGATGATATACATGTCATCGAAGGAAGTTTAGAAGTCAAACTTCCGACAATATGGACTCAGATGAAAAGCAGAGATGGGAAGAGTCAGAGAAGAGAAGAGAAGAGAATAAGAAAGAAGATCAAAAAGAGAAAGGCTCAGAAGAAAGAAGATCCAGGTGCGCGAAAAGGTAAGGAAAGTCGCGAAACACTGTTTGTTCCAATGATTTGTGGCTCCGGAGGGTCGAAAAGTAGGCTCGCTAAAGTGGCGGGTGCGGAGCCAGCTGGCCAGATGAGAGATGAACAATTGCACGCCGTTGTGGCGCGAAGCACATTTGCACGTGAAAAAGCTAAAAACGCCTCACGTGCGGAGCACTTTTGGAAGTTGTGATGTCCAAAAAGTGGCGCGAAGCATGTTTTGAAGTCAAAATGTTGAATACACCTCACGTTCGGAGCCCTTTTGGAAGTTGCGATGTCGAAAAAGTGCACGCCGTTGCGGCGCGAAGCACATTTCAAAGTTAAAATGTTGAAAAAACCTCACGTTAGGACCACTTTTGGAAGTTGAGATGTCGAAAAAGTGCACGCCGTTGTGGCGCGAAGCACATTTCGAAGTCAAAATGTTAAAAACACCAGGGTTTGGACAACTTTTGGACGTTCAGATGTCGTTTCGCGTGGCAGGCGCAAGGGATTGCGCACCTTGTCAAAAGTGAGCAAAACGTGAAGGTTTTGTAGCATTTTCAACTACAACCACCACTACACTACACCCCACTACACTACGCTACACCCCACTACACTCCACTACACTACACTCAGTTACACTACACTCCGCTACACTACACTACAACTACACTACACTACATTCCACTACACTACACTACATTACACTACACTCCACTACACTACACTACACTACGCCTACAACGACAACTATACTACATTACACTCCGCTACACGACACTACAACTACACTACACTACATTCCACTACACTACACTACATTACACTACACTCCACTACACTACACTACGCCTACAACGACAACTATACTACATTACACTCCGCTACACTGCACTACAACTACACTACACTACATTCCACTACACTACATTACACTACACTCCAACTACACCACGCCTACAACGACAACTATACTACATTACACTACGCTACACTACACTACACTACACTAATTACACTACGCTACACTAGACTACACTACACTGAATGACACTACAGTACACCACGCCTACAACTACTACCAACCACAACCACAACTACAACAACAACAACTGCAACTACACTACATTACATTACACTAACTACACTACATTACACTAACTACAACTACAACTACATAAGATTACACTACACTACACTAATTACATTACACTACACTACGCTACACAACACACTACACAACACACTACACTAGACTACACTACACTACACTACACCCCACTACACTACACTCCAACTACACTACACTACATTCCACTACACTACACTACACTACACTCCACTACACTCCACTACACTACACTCAGTTACACTACACTACACTACACTCAGTTACACTCAGTTACACTCAGTTACACTCAGTTACACTACACTACACTACTCTACACTACTCTACACTACACTACACTACACCACACTACACCACACTACACCACACTACACCACACTAAACTACACTACACTACACTACACTACACTACACTACACTACACTACACTACACTACACTACAATCAATTACATTGCGCTACACTACCCTACATTACAATATATTATATACATTACATTACCTTACGCTACACTCATTACACCACCACAACTACAACTCCACTACACTACAACTACAGCTGCGCTACACCACACTAGACCAGGTGACACAGCTCCAGCCACCTTTCGGTCCAATCTCTCCTATAGGTTTCCTATTTTTGAAACTTCCGCCACCGCCTTGTGCGGCACTACTGGTATACATTATACATGTAAATGTTAGAAACACATGCCCAACTGCCCAGCTGTGTGTGTGTGTGTTTTTTTTCGCTTGAAAATCTGGAAAATTTCGAAGGACATCCGGGGGCACGGTCACGATTTCCAGGGACCACACCGAGATCATCCACTGCATTCCATTGATGTCGCAGCTAGAAGATAGAAACACGTTGCAGACATGGAACCATATTGTGCCATATTTACATACGGTAACGACATTTACATATGCGGAGGGCGGGCCAGACCGCGAGGCCAGAGTAATTTTACATAGACTGCAGAGTTCCAGTGGATCAAGCGGAATCAAGTGCAACGAAGTAACAAGGTCTCACAAGCATCCAAGTTGCATGAGACACGGAACATATTTGCAATCTCACGAGGGTCATGAGTTGAGAGATGTTAGGTGAGTGTGGTGTATCACAATCACAACAGATGCCGCATTCACTTACTTTTGCTATATTATTATATATATATATGTATATATATATAGTTATGTCTGGCCAATGTGCTAGTTTGCGCAACTGCAGAGGGTCAGCCCTGGGACATTGGCTGCCAAATTTGATTCAGTTTCAGTGCAATCACTAGCAGCAGGACCAATTGACCCTACTTATTTTACCTGTTCTTTTGCGTTGTTCCATTTTCTTAGTATTTAAACCATACCTCAACAATGGGTTTACTGCGTTTATAGTTGTAGGATGTTGTAGGCTATTGAGAAACATTGCAAGAGCACTTGTAGTTATAGGATGTTTTAGGCAGGGTATGACCATGAACTATGTTGATATGACAGGTCAGACCGGAAACCATGTTGCAGAATATCATGCCTTGCAACTCCTGGTGTTCCACAGCAGCCTTTGGGGACGGGTGTCCAGCAGCCATGCCCAGGGTGGGGATCCCAGCTCTTCCCTCTGATCCTTTGACGTTTTGCTATGGAAAGCCACCATTTTTTGATAGGTAAATTGTATTAAATCGTTTACAACCGTGTCAGTTTCCCATAGCTATCTTTGATGATTGGAGGGTCGCTTGAAGAGTTTGGAAGATTAAAACAGCCAAAGGTTCTCAGTCTAAATGATGGTCAGCAATGGACATGATCCCAATAATGCTTTATTTCAGGTTTGTTGCTGATCAGGCGTTTCCCAGGTAGAGGGAGCTTTTTTGCCTATTTTTGCAACCCCGGCAGAAGCAATACTTGTTGCCTGCAGCCAGCAGGAAAGGGTATCAACAGTGGGCAATTCCCCACAGCCAAGTTCGAAATTGATCAGATAGTGATGCAGACAGCGACAGCGAGATTAATTTAGAAAGTAAAACTTCTTACTGGTGCTTAGCAGGGAATAAGGGAATGATCCATAATCACCAGTGTCGAATGCACTCCATGCACTCATGTCATTTACCATTTGCTTTAGCATGTCAGTTTCAATCAGAGCTGCCACACATTTACCTGTGGCCATTTTCTTTCAACCACCAGAGGGTGGGATCTTAGCAAAGCCCCAACGGCTACGCGTGTGCAAAAAGGACTTCGTTTGCCTGCACTTGCAACTACTTCTTGGTCCAGAACTTCGAGTGTCTTGACTACGACTGACTCCCTACCAGTTGATACTGGTAGCGGAGCTCAAGCTCCAGAGCTCACCACTGCGCAACTCCTACTTCCTTGACGACTTTGCCACCAACCTTCACTTCACCTCCTACCATCTCCTCGAGCACTTTGGTGCCATCAACTTGATTTACTGCATCTCTGAAAAGATTCTTGTGCCCAAATATCTGCTGATTTCTGACCTCAAGAATGGCCAGCACTGCTTCAGCCGTGACCACAGATTCACAGTTTACGAAGGATTCATACATACCCATTTTTGATGGGCAACCCAGTTCATACCAAGAATGGCGGAAGAGAATCCATATCTATCACTTGAAGATGAAGATTCAGAAACGTACCACAGAGTCTGTTTTGAATTTGATCGGCTCACTGCAGGGCAATGCATGGAAGTTGGTAGAGGGCTATGACTTGACAAAGGTTGAAGATGACCAGGCTTTTGACAAGGTCATTTCCATGTTGGATACGGCATTTCAATATGACACACGTGTCAGGATGCCCCAGGATTTCGATGCCTACTTCAACTTGTCCAGGCGCCCAGGAACTTCCTTGCTTAGCTTCGTGACTGAACACGATGAGAAGCTTCGCAAAATCACGGAGCACGGCATCAAGCTTCCAGACCAAGTTCAAGGATGGCTGTTGCTTCGCCGTGCAAACCTCACAAAGGAACAGAATCAACTTGTTTTGACTCAAGCCCCAAAACTTGAAAAGCTGCGTGTTCAGGAAGCCTTATTTGTCATTCTGGGGCAAGATTACAAGTCAGCAGTTTCCCATGACCGGCGACCATTTGCCAACAACCGCTTTCAACGTGGAAAAGCCTTTGCTGCTCATGATGATGAAACGTTTGATGATTCAGACATCTATGAGGATGGATACTACGAGTATGATGACCAATATGAGACTGAGGTTTATGATGAAAGCTGGGCCGATGACAGCTTTGATGCGGATGCCGCCTACTTCCAAGAAGATGAGGCAGCCCTTGAGTTTGACCAGCACTCTGAGGCCTTCGACGTTAATACGTATGACGAGGCTTTTGCTGCATACTTGGATGCTCGTCGAAGGTTTCAAGACTTGAAGCTCAGTCGTGGATTTTTGCCAGTTGTGGCATTGGCTGACCAGAACCCTGT